TACTGACTTGAGGTAGAGTTTTACATCAGTAGTGACTGCTAATTACTAGCTTTATATCTTAGTTTAGAACTCAGGATACAGTAAGTACAAATATTGTTTGAAAATAGAATCTCAAAAAGATTTCCTTATGGAAGATTCTTGGGAACAAAGTTTAAAGAAAAATGTGATGATTTTTTTTAACGCTACATGGAAATTCTCAGGGAAAATATCTGCATGTGGCAGACTGTATCTTCTAAGTATGGTTGAGCGTTATCTCTGGTCACACATGTTCTTACAGGTTCTCCCCATCAAGAGGAGAGCCCACTCACCACCCCCCTCAGACCCCACAGGACACAGCGCTGCCTCAAGGGATGTGCGGGAGGGCTGCGCGGGACCTCTGAGGCTGGGTCACAAGTGGGGTTCTGCGCCTTCAACCAAGCCCCAAGGGGCGAGGAAGCTTATTGTCCAGTTTATTACAATGAACAGCATATGCAACTCATTACAACATTTGCCATAAAAATGCCTTGAGGTCATTGACTACCACGCGATTATCTGTGATAAAAATTTAAACAGGAACGAATTCTTGCCATTTATTAAGCATGACTTGGCTTCCTCTGAGGAGTGCATGCAGCCTTCTTCCTGGCAGTTCAGCTGACATCCCCTGTAGGAGACAGGAGTGTCCTACAAGTGTGCATGTGTTAACACGCTTATGACTCACGGGAAGTTCTGTTATCAGCCCTACTTACATGGGAGGAAACCCAGACACCTAAAGAGGAGCACACCGCCTAAACGTACCCAGCTGAAAGTTGGTGGGGCCTCCCATGTGGAACAAGAAACTGTAAACTGATGAGGTCTCCCTCTCCACTTGGGCAGCTGGGAAGTTCCGAGTGAAATGTGAGGTTCAACTATCGCAGTTGCTCTGTGGTTGACGTGTGCATGGTCTTACTTTACTTCCTCGACTTTAGGCTTTTTTATATTGTTGCCTTGTGAGTTTTCTTATCGCAAGCTAACAAGCTTTGTGAAATAAAGACACACACATATACATGCATATATACTTAATATATATAATAGTATGTATTACATTAGGTATATATCTAGGATATATGTAATACTATTATATACTATGCATAATATAGTATATATTATACATAATATATATCAATATATAATTATTATATTATACCTACATATATGTAAATATTTCTAACATGAGTACTTTTTCCTTAAACATTAAACATGGATGGTTCTATCTCCATTATTTGAGCCCATTTTCCTAGCGGTTTTCAATAAGATTTTGCCCTCGCATGCCCGATGCGCATGGCTTAGCCAGATAGAGTGCTACAACGGTGGCCCGAAGGCGGTGGCCTCATGGCCTTACGACTGTAGAGTTGCATTTGCGTTCATCTAATGTGAGAGATACTCATCATCAGCTCTGATTCTGAGATGTGGTTGCAGCTGGAAGGAACCATAGTTCCTTCCGGAAAGAGCAAGGTGCCCTCTTCTAGAAACTTTTCTCCTCTGTCAGTATAACTTAGGGAGATCCAAGGCTCCCTCCCCTCCACTGAGCTACCTGCCCTTGTTTTAGACCTGGGACTGGAGACCCCGGAGGGAGGGTGGGAGGGAGGGGTGAGGGTGGACGTTCTGCTTTCCTCCTGCCTGGTCTTCAAATGACAAGGACGGTGGGTGCCACGTGTGTGGGTGTATGGTTCAAAAACAGCTCAGTAACTGGTAAGCGCAAAATAACCTGGTTCCTCAAAGCTCGGACAACACACAGTTCTCCAGGCTACTGTGCCTTAAAATGTTTTCTTCCTCTTTGGGTAACTAAGCAAAACAGTCCTGAAGTATAGCCACACGCTGTCAGAAAAACTTACAGGCAGAGATGTAAAAGTGGGCTGTAATGTAATTTGCTTAGATCCAAAGCAATCCTTCAGTAGGATTTTCCTATGAAATGAAAGGGTAAATAAAACCTCCCAGTGCGCTGCTCAGTGAGTGACTGGCTCTGGCCCTCACAAAGATGCGGAGGAAGTCTGCCTGGTTTCAGTTGAGCAAACTCGTGGTTTTGAGCCTGCAGCGGGTGAGCCAGCAACTCAGGGCACCTGGGCCATAGTCAGCCCCCGCTGCCAACTTCTCTTAAACTCTCCAATTCAGTCCTTCACTGGGACTCTTACGAGCTGAAGTACGACGCTATTTTCCCCAACATTGAAGAGACCCTGAGTCCGTGTGTCCTGCGGAAAGGTGTTAGGTAGAGGACAGTGGCCGTCTCCATATTCCTCACACTCCCCCGAGTCCTCTGACACGAGGACAGAATGACTACCAGGAGCTGGAAGATTATCAGTACACAGTTGATGATGACTCATGGTTCACAGACCATCACGAAGGCATGGTTTCCTATCATACTCAGGAATTTCCATCTGGTCAGGAAAAGACCTTTCTGTAAAGTGAGGGGGAACTGCTGATTTCATTTGGAGTGACGTGTGCACAACCCTTCGTAATTTAAAAAGAATTCTCATATATATTCTCCAAGATTATACAGTCAAGATTGACAGCTGGTCACTCGGCACCTTTAGACTGGGGTTTCTTTGGATTCCAGGAAAGCATTAGAAAGGGGAGATTAATGAGTCAGAAAGCAGACGCCCATCAGCTCCTTGAAGCCTCACAAGTCTGTGTCACTCAGGACTGCTGGGCACAGAACTACGGGAACCCATGAGGCATCTGGGCCAGCCTTCCTCACGGTCAGAGGAAGCGAGGACGTCTTCGCACAGCCAACTGCTCACACTTCCCCTCCGTCGTGACTCAGCCTGGGTCCAGCGTCAGCTGTGCCTGCACGAAGCGGATGCTTAAGGAAGCGTTCCTGGTGACTCACAGCTGGGAGCTCGGCAGGCGTGACACTCACGCAGCAGACATGTGAGCGTCCCTTAGTGGCCGAGGCACTGGGAGGTCCCAGTCAACAACACACACGTAAGTTTGACTGTAGTCTTATTCTTCCCATTAAAACACAAATCTAACGCAGAGATCGAACATGTTGTGCACCCGAAACTGATATAACGTCATATGTCACTTTTACCTCAACAATAAAAAAAGGCAAATCTAAGTTTGTGACACGATTGAAATATTTGCATCTCCGTTGGTTTTCATGTTCAACTCTAGATAATAATTCTCCAACTTGAATATCTACTTGAAAAGGTAGCTTTAAGAGAACGCTGTCTCTGAAGGTGCTTCAGGAATCATACCACGTTCATAATTTAAGGAAAAGGCTTATTATAGAAGAGGTTTTTCGTGTTATATTGCATAGATGCTATATACATGCCTATGGATATGTGCAGTGTGTGTCTCCAAGAGGAACAGAATGGCTGACATTGTCATGAATAGTTCCAAAGCAATTAGCCAGGAGAATAGTGATAAAGATGATGTTTGCTTTAAAAATAAGCTTAGCCAGAATAATTCTAAAATTTACTCTTATTCACACACAAAACCTAAAATTGGACATTTCTATTTTGTCACTTTCTTTTATGTGTTTATATGGGTAGCTGGAATATAGGAGTAGAGAGATCATCTAAAGAGACCTTTATTTTAGATGTCTACCGACAGATTTATTCTTAAAATCATTAGCACAGACATTCCACTCAAATGCATGGACTGTCTTCCCTCTACCTTCTCAAGAGTACAGGTTGTGCCTCGCACCTGTGCTGCGTCTTGCATCTCCCACCCCCCCCCCCCCCACCCGCTCCTCTCTTTCCTCTGCCCCTAAAGAATGGAAATGTCACCACCAAAAGGCAGTGGACTGTGCTCAGGCAAGCCCCCAAGAAAATGCCTATGAAAATCAATAGACAGCATGTGGAAACCAGGAGAGCATGTTGAATTCCTTTCACACTTGCCTGATTTCCGTTAAACGAATTCTCATTGTTTTCAGTCTGCAGGCCTCTGGGTTATGTTTATTTTCATGGAAGCTTAAGATCTTGAGAAAGTGGGCAGCAGAACTTCTGTAATTATGTGCGCTTGCTCAAGAAGGATGGAATTAGAGTAAAGGAAGGGATTTTTGAAAAAGAGCAAGTAAATCTGGAACAAAAAATTGGGGTGGATTTTCTTGCCTGACAGGTGAGTAGAAAGAAGCCCTCTCCATCAGTGAGGGGTGGCCTGGCCAGGGAACAGGGCGAGGGGGCCTGTCAGCCTTGAGCATCATCACCTGCAGGTAGGACCAACTCTGGTAAAGGGATGCTTATTTTAGGAGCCAGAAAGGCACTCCCTTTCCTTTGATGGAGCAGTGAGATCTCAGGGTCTGGGCAGGTTTCATGCTGCCCTTTTGTTCTCGCCACGTGGGGGAGGTATGCAGAAGAGAAGAGGGCAAGGCGCACAGTCAGTCTCTCACCGCGTGAGCTTGGGCAAGTCACTGAGCTCCCTCATCCCAGGGGCAGAGGTGGAGCCAACAGCATTACCGTAACAGTCAAATGAGAACCTGTCCACTCTTTCCTGGGGAGCAGAAACGAAGACGGATGACAACAGGAACAGGAACTCACATCACTAGGGCACTATGAAAAAGTAAACGTCTATGGAGAACAGTTATTGCCCAACACCTCGGGCCAGTCTTTGTACTTAAAACAAACACCACCGTATCTAGGCTTTGGGATAATTTCACTTCCTCATTGGTCACATTCTACTGGCACTGTTAGGCTTTCTAATGCCCACACACAAAGGATCAAACAGATGACTGGAGAAATATCTGACAGTAAGGGAAAACCTGGGGAGTCTCGAGTGTCTGTGTGTAACAAAAGGCATGCAAACAAAAACCAGATGAGGACAGACACCACGGTCCCCAGGGTAGTCACATCGGGGGAGAAGGGGGTAGCGAGAGGCTGGTGAGGGGGGCTCATCCACCATATTTCTACCCAGTCTGCATTTTTAATAATGACAACAGATTCATAGATTACTCATGTAATGAAAAAATTAAAATCTTCCTCAAATGAGAACGTACTTGCACACAATTATCATATGAAATTGTGTCTTCCAATTTTTATGTTACGTACCAAACACGTCATTGTCCTCTGAGGTCTCCTGGGAAAGGTGGTGAAGGTTTCTCTTTTTCTCCGACTCTCCTTTGTTGGTTTCACCATCCTGGGAAAAAAGAAAACAAAATGTGACCCTTTCTTAAGATACAGTGCTTTATCAACAGAATAAGGTAATGCGTGTTCCTTCTTATGAATTTCGCAGCAGATAATCACATGCTCAGCTACGTCTGAAAGGCAAGAAATGGTCTTGGTTCAGGGGGGTTTTCTACAGAGGATTCTGAATTCTGGTTTGTTTTCTCAGCCTGAGTGTGCAAGCATTCCCTTGTGCCAGTGGATATATTTTCACACAAAAGAAACTGAACGTCATCTGGATAAAGTAAATTAGCAGTCATCATCCCACATGCTCCAGGAGTGTGCCCACCTAGTGGCTGTTTTGGGTGAGTGAAAGCATGGGTCAGAACTGACACCAAGCCGGACTTCCCTCAATCCCACCGTTGGATTACTGGAAGCCTTGGCAAGAGAACAGGCCCTTTCGGGGCAGATTGATATTAATGTGCACGTGCGCCCTGCCAGCACTGAGGAGGAAGAGCAGGTGTGATGGGGACGGGTGGAATGGGAGGGCTTCTGCCCTGGGCTTGGGCTCCAACTGCCACCCAAACTGCCTCCCCAGAGCTCCCCTGGGCATCCCTGCCTCTGGGCATCATCTGTGCCTCTGGGCATCCACTCCTCTGGGCATCATCTGCTCCTCTGGGCATCCACTCCTCTGGGCATCATCTGCTCCTTGGAGCACCATCCTCTCCTTTGAGCATCTGCTCCTCTGGGCAGCTGCTCCTGTGGGCATCATTGGCTCCTCTGGGCATCATCCGCTCCTCTGGGCATCATCTGTGCCTCTGGGCATCAGACACACCTATGGGCATCATCCACTCCTCTGGGCATCAGACACGCCTATGGGCATCATCCACTCCTCTGGGCATCATCCACGCCTCTGGGCATCATCCGTTCCTCTAGGCATCATCTGCGCCTCTGGGCATCATCCGCTCCTCTGGGCATCATCACGTCTCTGGGCATCATCCGCTCCTCTGGGCATCATCCAATCCTCTGGTCATCATCCACACCTCTGGGCATCATCCGCTCCTCTGGGCATCATCTGCTCCTCTGGGCATCTGTGCCTCTGGGCATCAGCTCCTGTGGGCATCACGTACTCCTCTGGGCATCTACCCCTCTGGGCATCATCCACTCCTCTGGGCATCATCCACTCCTCTGGTCATCATCCACACCTCTGGGCATCATCCATGCCTCTGGGCATCATCCACTCCTCTAGGCATCATCTGTGCTTCTGGGCATCTCCTGCTGTGGCCATCATCTGCGCCTCTGGGCATCTGCACCCTCAGAAATGGGGTTTCTGCTCTCTCTCCGGGATCTCTCTTCTGCTCCATTATGGAGCCCTAACAGCAGCGCCAATGTGCACATTCTTTTTGAACTTTAAATTTTAAGCGCATAGAGTAGATGTGGTTCATTTTTTTTAAAATCAATTTTGTTAAATTACTTTAATATGCAATGCTTGCCCTTGACATCAAATTCAAAAGGCCCTGAAAGGGGCCCAGTGAGAATGGCCTGTTGCCCCCTGCTTTCCTGCCGCCCACTCCCCTGTGGGAGGCAACCACTGCTTCCAGCTTCTCTGTGTTCTTTCACAACAGCCTGTGTACCTCCAGGCACCTGCACAAGCACGCTCTCACTTTCCTCCTTTTTGTCTTCATGCAAACGGCATCCACTCGGGATACTGCTCTGCATCCTGCTTTTGTCACTGAGCAGGGCACCTGGACACTGTCTCCTGCCTGCACATGTGGCACTGTCACCCCTGCCTTTAGGTCCACATGGCACTCCAGCCCGTCAGTCACTCTCACAAACCGAACCAGGCTCCACCGATGACCGTTTAACTTGTTTGCTTTTCTTTCAGTTACAACCAAAGCTGCATAAATTCCTGTTTGCTTACTCACATTGCACACACACATGCACAAGGATACATTTCTGGAAGTTGGATGAGTCAAACCATAATCTTTTAAAGACAGTGCCCAAGTTGGCCTCCCACCAGACAGCATGGAAGGGCCTGCTTCTCTGAGATAGTGCCCACTGCAGCTTCTTACTTTGTCCTCCATTCTTATTTTGTATCACTTTTTTTCCCGACCAATCTCACTTCCCAAGAGTTTTAACCTAGGACCATACGATATGCATAGTCCCAATTTTAGTCCCATTCTTTTCCTTCTAAAGAAAGGAAGCAGGCACAGTAATTAAGACCATAATCTCCAGAGCCAGACCTTTTGGGTGTGCAGACTGGCTCAGCTCTTATGTATTAGCTGTGTGACCCTGGACAAGTCACTTAACCTCTCTATGCCTCAGTTTCCTTTTCTATAAAAGGGAGGAAATACTGATATTGCTTGCTATGGTTGTAACACCGATTAATAAAGTTAATATTTTTAAAGTGCTCAGAACATGCCTGGCACATAGAAATGGCTATATGAGTGTTTGTTAAATGAAATGGAAACTCTGAAAAAAAAAACCAAGGTAGAAATCTTCCCCTCTGCCTTAGCTGCTGTTGCCTTGCTGCCTCCTCCCCAGCCTTGCTCCCAAGTTATGGCAGGTGTGGTTGCTCTGACCAGTTTCCTCCGCTTCTCAGGGAGCCCCACCCCCCATCCCCTTGCTCTAGCAAATCTCTGGAGAGAGAGCAGGCATGTGGCCCCCGGGTCCAGTAACAGACCCCGGGACTTCTGGAGACAGGCTGGAACGTGTGACCTTGGGGCTGCTCCCAGCAAGGCCCTCCAGCTGCTGCAGGAGCCGAGGGGCTGCACCCAGAGAAGCAGGAACTCAGGCGGAGACAGGGAGAAAGATGCGGGCCCCTGAAAAGGCTGTGTCTGAAGCCAATACCGCTAGGTGACTGAGCCAGGAAGTTGTCTCTGTACTTTCCCCGCCCTCTGGCTTTCAGTAGTTTGAGATAGGTTTGCCACTTGCAACAAAAACTGTCTTGATTAATATGTGTCTTTTTCGAAGGAAGCCAAAAATTATTATCCCGTCACCGTGAGGTCTGAGTCAGACCTGGAGAGACTCACAGTGACAGAGAAGCGTCTGCAGGTGTCTATTTCAGGAGCCGGGGGCAGCCAGAGGGTGGAGAGGGCGGGAGGCCCAGGCTGGAGGAGACCTCTGGGGCTTTGGGAAGAAAGGAGGAGGCAGAGGCCAGCCTTCCCGAGTTCATACCAGCAGGCACTCCTCCAGGTCACCCAGGGTCCCCCTGGAAGTCCTCCACCCTAAACGGGCTTGGGGTCTCAGTTCCACCGCCTGGAAGGTGAAAGAGGGTGAATGGGCGAGATCCCACCAACTAACGCTTTTATACTTTTCCCACAATTAAATGGTGTCCACTGTTACAAGCAAATAAGACTTACTGATTATTTAACTCATAAAATTGATGAAGGAGAGGGTGCTCTCATTTCTCACCAGCAAAGCTAATGCTGCCGGTTGGTCAATAAATTAACTAAATTGGCGTTTCCCAGACTGAGATCCACAGTCTTACACAAGTCATTATTAATAGTAAATAACACAATGTAATAGTGTTCAAACGCACTGGTGGTTGAAGAAAAACACAGCAAAACAAGAATGAGCTACTATTTCCAACATATTGACAAAGTTGAAAACAACAACTTCCGCTGTTGTTTGGGATGTGGTGAACAGGGACTCTTCTGGGAGCTGGGATAAACATTCGCAGCATTTTTTGGAGGACAAACAACAGCAAACACTGTGCTGGCCCTCTGCCTGGAGCACCCCTTCCCTGGTTGCCTGACCTCAGGGTCCAGGCAGAGGTCAGAGCCTCTGGGAGCTCTGACCCCACCTCCACAATGGTTTTCCTGCTCCCAGTGTCCGTGTCTCCTGGTAGATCTGAGCTCGTCTCTATTGCAGACACTGTCACAACAACCGTTTGTTTATTCCTCTCTCTCTCTCTATGACACTGCAAACTTTTTGGGAATGGGAACCTTGCCTTGTAAATCTTTCTATCCTCAAAACCTAGCACAGTGCTTGGTACCCAGCAAGGGCTGGAGAGAATGCTTTTCAATTTTATGTTGCGTAAGAATAAAGTGAATAATTTCTGTTTCAGCAGAAGGAGCCAAAGGTGCCTTTATATATATATTTTCATATCTACCTAGTTACTTTTAGAAGAGAGGAAAAGTGGGAACAGAAAGAATTCCTCAGTAGATTCTTTTCATCAGCTATCAATGCAGGTCATGCGTGTTTTACATCTTGTTTCTCTGCTAATATCAATATCATTTTCTTCACTAACTACAAAATAATGAATTTTATTTGAGAAGTAATTCATTAAATACAATTTAGCGATCATTTTATTCATTGTGGATGGAATTTTTCATGCTTTATCAGCTCTAAAATCAGGACGTTCCTTACAACCCAGAGTGTCTTCCAACTAGAATGGGCAGTGTTTCCTCCTTAGGGGTATGTAAAATGATGCTGAGTCTCAGAGACGATGGCATTTCAGGTTCAGAGCAAAAGCTTGATATTTAAAGCAAATCACTTTGCTTTCAATGAATGGAGGTTGATAACATGGTAACACGACTTCCCAATTCCATTGCTAGGGCTGGAATGGCTAACGGCGAAGAGGTATTTTGCATCTTATGCCCAGGCTTTGTGCAGACTTCCTTACTATGGCAAACAGAACGTCCACTGTTTACTCCTTACGTTACAGTGGCCACAGGTGGAACTTGGAGCAGTGACGACAGACAGAACCTCAAAGGCACTTCAGCTCCTCCGATCTTCTCCGCCTTCTCAATATCAACCCGCCCATGAGGAATGAGTTCATTTGTGGGGGTACCGAGGCGTGTGGAAAGTACACGTTACCCTGGGAAATTTACTGACTAATTCCTGCCCAAATAAAAAACTTGTTTCTAAGACCTGAAACTGTTGCTAATCCACAAATATAAAAAATATCCTTATGAATGACACGTTTTCAACAAGCAAAATGTCTACAAGTAACACAAACAAAATCAAGATGATGTGTATCACACATAATGGAATTTTCATGATAAAGAAATAAGAGCCTCCTGTAAATAA